TAAACCCTCGAGGGGAGCCAAACCCTCAGCAGCTGCAGCAGCAAGGACTCGAGCAGCAGCAGCAGCAAGAAAGCGAGCAGCAGCAGCTGCCCCAGCTGCCAAGAAGTAGCAGCAGCAGCAGCAACAGCAGTCCTCCAGCCAGCACGGCAAACAATTTGGTGCGAAACCAGCAGCAGCAGCAGCAGCAGCAGCAGCCGCAGCAGCAGCAAGAGGAACAGGAGAAGCAGCAGCAAAAGGCGCAGCAGCAGCAGCAGCAGGAGGATGAGATTGGGCGAGCTGGAGGCGAAGGCGGGAGAGACGGAGAGCCAAGCAAACCAGCAGCGGCTGCTGCAGCAGCAGCAGCAGCTGCAGCAGCAGCAGCAGCGGAGCAGCGAGCCAAGGAGGCTAGTGCAGCAGCAAAGTACCGACAAGAGAAAAGTTTAGGAGATGAAGCAGCAGCAAATGAGCAAATAAAGCAAGCAAAATATATCATCGAAATTAGGCAGCAGGAGGATATTCCTGCAGCAGCAGCAGCAGCAGCAACGAACAGCAGCAGCAGCAACAGCAGCAGCAAAGTTGTACGCGCCTTCGCGCCCTCGCAAGCTCAGCGCGAACAGCAGCAGGAGCAGGAGCAGCAGCAGCAGCCGAAACTTGAGCAGCAGGAGGAGCAACAGCAGCAACTAGAGCTTGAAAAGCAGCAGCAGCAGCAGCAACAGCAGCAGCAGCAGCCTTTGCCGGAGCCGTTTGCTTCCCCCGCGGCCACTTCGAGCACCGACGAGGGCACCAACGGCAGCAGCAGCAGCAGCAGCAGCAGCAGCAGCAGCGCGGGGGTGTCTGCGGAGTTGGGTGTGCTGCGGGCTCTTTCTTTGGGCCGTCTTTGCTGGTTTTCGAAAAAGCCAAAAGTGGCAATTGGATTAATTCAAAAACTAAATCGAAATAAAGAAAATGAAGTGCAGCACGAAGTCCAGAGGGCCAAGACTGCCCCGCTGCTGCTCTAGCAGCAGCAGCAGCAGCAGCAGCAGCAGCTGCTGCAGCAGCAGCAGCAGCGGCGGCGGCGGGAGCGAAGGGAGAGCCGGCAGCAGGACAGAAGTTTAGCTGAAGCACCAGCAGCAGCAGCTGCAGCAGCAGCAGCAGCAGTGTAGAGAGACTCTGCTGCAGAGCAGCAGTTGCAGCAGCAGCAGCTGCTGCAGCTGCTGCTGCAGCTGCTGCTGCTGCTGCTGCTTAGGAGATAGTTGCTTGGCAGCAACTGCAGCAAAAGAAAGAAATGGAAACAAAGAAAGAAATAAAAGGACTTTCGTCTTTGCCAGAAACTTTTATTTTTTCGAAATAAATGCCATTTGGTCAAAAAGAATTTTATTTTTATTTAAATGCCGTTTAAATGCCATTTATTTAAAAGTGGTTTTATTAATTTAAAAAATGCCATTTAATTGAATGAAGTTTTCTAATTATGTAATACCATTTAATTAGAACCAGTTGCAACTCCTAGACTCCAATTTAGGGCTTTTAGATACAAGGGTTTGTTAAAGGTACACTTCAGTTCCAAACCCTAAACCCTAAACCCTAATTACTTCACAAACACGAAGACGACTAGAGAGACATCCCGGAATCAAAACAGATTTGGATTGTGTTGATAATGGATTATTTCTTTAGGGTTTAGAGTTTAGGGTTTATGGTTTAGGGTTTAGGGTTTGTGGTTTAGGGTTTAGGATTTGGAGTTTAGGGTTTAGGGTTTAGTGTGTAGGGTGTCTGTACAGCTCGCAGCGCGCATATTTCGCTTTCTGCTGCTGCGGAGGCTCTCAAAAGAATTATTTTTCGAAATAAAAGTTTTAATTGAATAAATAAATGAATTAAAATTAAATCAATTCACCTTTTTGGATTTATTTTCATTTATTTCGCCGAATTCCGCGCTGCTGGAGGCCCCAGCAGCAGCGCGCGGCCGCCTGCGGAAGCAGCAGCAGCAACAGCAGCAGCGGGAAAATTAGCGCGAAAAGCAGCAAATAAAGGCTTAAATGAATATAAAATTAAAATTAAATACAAATTTGATAAAATAAATAAATAAAATCGTATTTTAAAACCCAAAATCCAACAAAAAGCCCCAAGCTGTTCCCGGGGGGCCCCGCAGACGAATCCTTTTGCTGCTCCTTTCCCTTTTGTCTTTTCTTGTCTTTCCCCCTAAAGCAGCAGCAGCAGCAGCAGCTAACACTCTGAAAGCAGCAGCAGCAGCAGCAGCAGCAGCCGCGACAGCAGCAGCAACAGCCGCAGCAGAGGCTCGGGTTCTTCTTCTACGGAACTTTGAATTATCTTTCCAACTTTAAGTTTCTTCAAACAAATTCCAAACCCTCCAAAACAAACAAATGCCTCACACCAAACCCTAAACCCTAAACCCTTAACCCTCATCTCTCGATTCCACCAGCATAAGGAGGCACATGAGCAGCACACAACAAACCCCAGGGGGCCCCCCGGGGGGCCCCCCAGGGGCCCCCATGGGGGGCCCCCCAGGGGCCCCCATAGGGGGCCCCCC